CTGGTGCCATGCTGGCACCTGGAACTGCCCGCCCCACTGCAGCACCCGGAATGTCTGACCATGCACAGTGGCTGGACGCAATGCTCACTCACATACCCCGAACTGTTCCACGCCTGTCTCACCCTTGGCAGGCATGGGACCCAGGCTGGTAGCATGAGCCAAGCATAGGCTGCCAGGCTGGGTGCAAAACTGGGGCAAAGGCGCCACTAGCCACAGAAGTTTCAGGCCAGAAAAAGGACACCCCAAAGATCCCCTAACAACAGGACAAGCATCAAAAATGATAACTGGGCACAGTGGCTCACACCTATAATCCCAGCACTTTGGGAGGCCAAGGCAGGTGGATCACCTGAGGTCAGGAGTTTGAGACCAGCCTGGCCAACATGGTGAAATTCTGTCTCTACTAAAAATACAAAAATCAGCCGGGCGTGGTGGCAGGTGTCTGTAATCCCAACTACTCAGGAGGCTGAGGCAGGGGAATTGCTTGAACCTGGGAAGCAGAGGTTGCAGTGAGCCGAGATCACACCACTGCACGCCAGCCTGGGTGACAGAGCAAGACTCCATCTAAATAAATAAATAAATAAATAAATAACTGGGCTGGGTGCAGTTGCTCATGTCTGTAATCCCAGCACCTTGGGAGGCCAAGGCAGGAGGATCACTTGAGGCCAGGAGTTTGAGACCAGCCTGGGCAACATGGTGAGACCGTGTCTCTACAAAAAAATTAAAAATTAGCCTGCTGTGATGGCACATGCTTATAGTCCTAGTTACTTGGGAGGATGAGATGAGAGAATCACTTGAGCCCAGGAGGTCAAGGTTGCAGTGAGCTTTGTGCCGCTACACTCCAGCCTGAAAAAGAGACCCTGTCTCAAAAAGAAATAAAAGATAACTAGCAATAATTGAGTACATCATATATGCGTTAAATTATGAGTTCATAATGGTACTTAAGAAAAACCTCACTGGTCAACTTTGGAAGATGCTGGGGAACCAATTCATTACTTTGAAAGCTGGTAAAATAAGTGAGAAACAATCAAGTATTTATTCTGCCTTTCCTAGGAAATATATCTCTGTGTAACAAATAGTTAATGTGGAAAAGTTTCTCCTTATAGAAATATTCTACCTAATACTTCTATAGGAATTCATTCAAAGAAGGAATGATAATATTATTTTCTAACTTTTTATTTGAGACAGGGTCTTGCTCTGATGCCCAGGATGGACTCGAACTCCTGGGCTCAAGTAACCCTCCTGGCTCAACTTCCCAAGTAGTTGGGACTACAGTCATGTGCCACTATGCCCAGCTTTAACTCCTCTATTAATGAACCTGGACCAGTGGTTCTTAATCAGGGTCAATTTTGTCCCCCAGAGGACAACTAGCAATGTCTAGACACATTTTTCTATTGTTATAGTTGGGAGGAGGTGCCACTGGCATCCATTAGGTAGAGGCCAGGGATGCTGCTAAACATCCTACAATGCACAGGACAGCCCCCTACAATAAAGAATTTTCCATTCCAAAATATCAATAGTGCCACGGTTGAGAAACAAATATCAGTTATTAACATCACAAAAAGACCACCATTGTATACCTCCAGATAGAAGTGCTAAAACCACCTACAAATTAGTTTTGCCAAAATAAATCTAAATTTGATTAAGTTACCAATTTATATCAAATACAGAGGATGGAGGAACATGCTAAATTACAACAGAAATCAAGACTCTAAGAAACCCTACAGGACAAATGAACTAGTTTAAAACAAGTAGAAAAAAAGATGGAGAATAAGCATAGATCTGCAAAGACTTAAGAAACATGGCTGGGTGTGGTGGCTCACACCTATAATCCCAGCACTTTGGGAGGCCAAGGCAGATGGAATGCTTGAGCCCAGGAGTTGAGACCAGCCTGGGCAACGTGGCAAACTCCATCTCTACAAAAATACAAAAATTAGACAGGTGTGGTGGTGCCCACCTGTAGTCCCAGCTACTCAGAAGGCTGAGACAGAAGGATTGCTTGAGCCTCGGAAGTGGAGGTTGCTGTGAGCCAAGATCAACCCACTGCACTCCATCCTGGGTGATAGAGCCAGACCCTGTCTCACAAAAAAAAAAAAAAAGAGAGAGACAGACAGACAGACATATCACCTGTAAAGTACAGGCCTAATGGATTTTGATTCAAATAAACAATTTTTAAAAATCAAACGTAAGACAGTGGGGGAAATGTAAACAACTGGATGCTTGATGATATGAAGGAACTATCGTTATTTTTTGGTGTGACAATACTGTGATTTGGTTTTAAAGAAGAATCCTTATCATCTAGAGATAACATACTGAAAAGTTTACAGGATGAAATGATATGTCAGAAATATACACAAATACGGAGTGAGGAAGAGGGCACGGGTATAGATGAAACAAGATTGGCCATGAATTGCTCATTGGAGAATCACTGGTATAGAAGGGTAAATGAAAGCGGTACTTTCACCTAGGCCAGGTCAAATATGACAACAGTACAACTGAGGCAAAGGCAAACCAATTTTGCACTATGGGTTTCCAACAAAATGGTCTTACTAATCCAACGTAAATAAACATTCATTATTCTATTCTGCGTGTGTGTATGTGTTAAGACATTTTCCATCATAAAAAGTCTGAAAAACAACAACAAAAGGTTTTTTTTTGAGACAGAGTCCCGCTCTTGTCGCCTAGACTGGAGTGTAATGGCGCGATCTTGGCTCACTGCAATCTCCGCCTCCCGGGTTTAGGCGATTCACCTGCCTCAGACTCCCAAGTAGCTGGGATTACAGGTGCCCGCCACCTCGTCACGCTAATTTTTTTGTATTTTTAGTAGAGACGGGGTTTCACTATGTTGGCCAGGCTGGTCTCATCTTCTCCTGATTGAACCACAGACACAGCCTCCTTCCTAATCAGTGTTGGCCAGGCTGGTCTCATCCTCTCCTGATTAAACCACAGTCACAGCCTCCTTCCTAATCAGTCTCCCTGCCTCCATACAACCACCGCAATCATCTTTCCAAAATAGGCATCTGGCTCTTTGGCTTGGAATTACCATTACTATTACAGTAATTCTCAAACATGATAAAGGGCCAGAACCCAATATCGGTTAAAAGATCTATGATATTACTTAAACAAAATGAGGCATAAATTCCTAGTGTTTACAGATGTCATACAACAATAGAAAGCAAATTCACAAATAGTTGTAGATGTTAGCATTAAATATGATGAATGAGCGTGTGCTGAGACCAAACGCCTCCAGAAAAAAGAACAGGATGCATGTGCCCTGGGCAATTCTGCGGCTGGCCTGCCTCCACCGGCTGTGGAAGGATTGCGAACGTCTCCCTTCCTCTCGCTCCAAACTTGTGCAATACCTTCCCTTGTACGGCGCACCAAGACAGCATCTGGCCTTCTCTTGACTCTAAGGCATCATGTATCATTTATGACCGTCTTTATTCTTTTCTCAGTAGCCCTCGACAACTGAGTAGTACTTCTTGGCTCCAACTCTCATAAACGTGTAACCAGACTCCATTGGAAGACGGTAACCCCACGCGATACGGACTGTGCTTGTATTAATTTTCTTTTAAGGTTACTACAGAAATATTAATACAGTACTTGAGAATTCCTGACGGACGCAGCCTCGCTTCCTCAGCTCTCTCAGCCGGCCTCCGCACCCGGTACCGCAGCTTTCACTCCCGCCGCCTACCGTTCCGCCGCTAGGGGGCAAGCGGCTCAACGACGCCCATTTAAACCGTTTGCCCCGGAGTGGCCTGCCGGGATCGCGTGTCACCACCCAACCCTGGCGATGATTGGCTATTTTGCCGAGGCCGGAGGCGGAGCCAGCGGCAGAACCGGAAGTACCTGGTACGGCAAGTGCACAGAGTCCGCAGACTGCATGCGCACCCGGGCACCGCGCCGACTTAAAGAGGCCAGTTGCAGCCCCTCCTCTGGCCTGAGGGGACAGACCGTGTTCCTACGTGGAGGGCGGAACCCTCACACTGAGGAGGGCTGGGTCACACTGAGGGGAGGAGTCACCTTGAGAGGAGGGGTCACAATGACTTAGTGGAGTCACTCGGAGGTGGGGTCTCACTGCGTGGGAGGAACACAGAGCAAGGGGGTGCAGCACTGAGGGGTTCTGACACACACTGACGGTGGCAGTGCCACACTGGGGAAAAGTGCTCCCGAAAGGGAGGTGTCTCCGAGAGAAAGCGTTCTTTGAGGGGGTGGGATCTTGCGGAAGGAGGGGCTTCCCTGCAGGTGGTGGCTTCTCTCTTAGAGTCATTTGGACAAAGTAATAAGAGGGAGATCCCGGCTGGGTAGTCACAGGGCGGAGGACCTGGACTCTCTTCTTTATTGGGAGACGGCAGGATGAAGTGAGGAGTCGGAGCTAAGCTGGGTATGGGCCGGTCAAAGGCTCCCTATAGCCCCGAGGTATCACAACCTCCCGTGAAGGTAGAAGGTGTTAGGGAGGCCAGAGGTTCAAGGTGTCGGAGTCGAAGAGACCTGGGAAATGGGCAGGCTGGGCCGCGGCGCAGGCCAGGAAGGTGGACAGGTTGCTGGGCTGCCTCAGATTGCGACTGGGCCTGAGGGGCCTACGTTTCTGCCCCATTGGTCCCTGGAGCCCAAGAATCCGGCAGGTTTCTGAGCCCGACCCACAACGGACAGTCCCAGGGAGGACAGGGGACTCCCTGGGCAGCTAAGCTTCGCATGCGCACCATCAGCCCTTAATTCCCTTTCGTTATTCAAGTTCAGGCCTGAGCTTATTTGACCCGGGCGGCCCAGGGCCTCGCGGCCGGAGAGCGGGGAGGCGGGGGTGCGCACCTGAGGGGGCGTGGCCGCTGCCGGGAGGCCGGGCTGGAAGGAGTTAAGCGGAGGCCCGGCCCAGCCCCGCCCCCGGCAGGCCGCGGAGCCTGAGCCCCGGCGGCTAAGCGGAGCAGCCGCCGCCCGCCCGCCCGCCCGCCCGCCTCCGCCCGCGGCGAGCTAGCCCGCCGGCGCCCGGGAGCGCTGCCGCCACCGTCGCCGCCACCGTCACCGCCACTGCCCGGTCCAGGCCCAAGCCCAGGCCTACGCAGAGCGGAGCGGCGCGGCGTCCACCCGGGCCCAGCTAGCCGGCGCGGCGGGGGCGGGTCCAGGATCTTCGGCTGATCTTCATTCTCAAGGCGGGAGCGGGAGTCCGGGCGCCCAGGATCTGGCTGGGCCCGCGCCCATGGCAAGCGCGGCCTGCCCGGGCCCCGGGGACCCTGCCATGTGAGGCAGGCCCGGGCTGGGGGCCCGGCCATGGCCGGGGAACGGCCCCCACTGCGGGGCCCTGGGCCCGGGCCTGGAGAGGTGCCGGGGGAGGGGCCCCCGGGGCCGGGGGGCGCGGGCGGAGGCCCGGGCCGCGGCCGCCCCTCCTCCTACCGGGCTCTCCGCAGCGCCGTGTCTAGCCTGGCCCGTGTGGACGATTTTCACTGCGCGGAGAAGATCGGGGCCGGCTTCTTCTCTGAGGTCTACAAGGTAGGACCGGCCGAGAGGGCAGAGGGGCGGGACCGAGCCTTCAACCAGAGGCTGCAACTAGGGGGCCGGGAGTGCGGGGAAGAGGGTCCAGACTCGGGCGACCCTCCCGACCTGCCCGACCCTCGCCGGCCGCCCCCGCCCCCAGGTTCGGCACCGACAGTCAGGGCAAGTCATGGTGCTGAAGATGAACAAGCTCCCCAGTAACCGGGGCAACACACTACGAGAAGTGCAACTGATGAACCGGCTCAGGCACCCCAACATCCTAAGGTAAGCGGCCCCAGTCTCTGGGCAGCTTGCTGGGCGGGAGAGAAAAGGAAAGATCCCGCGGGAAACGTGGAACTGAGGAGGAGCTGAGGCCCTTAACAGCCTACCCTTCTATCTTCCCCCTTCTCTTGCAGGTTCATGGGGGTCTGTGTGCACCAGGGACAGCTGCACGCTCTTACAGAGGTGAGGATAGACCAGGAAGGAGGGATCCCCACCCCCCCTTCACCCCCAAGGATAAAGGCAGTGAACAGGCCTGGTGGATCTACGGAGGACTAGTGAGAGGCAACAGGATCTCCTCCCAGGGGAGGCTTTCCTGAACTTCCCTTTAGGCAAACCACGTATAAAAGGCCTCAGCTGGTCTTATTCTCTGTATCCCCTAGAATAGTGCTGTCCAATAGAATTTTCTTCAGTGATGGAAATGTTCTCTATCTGTGCTGTCCTATACAGTAGCCACTAGCCACATGTGGTTAAATTTAAATTATGTTAATTGTTTAGATTTTTTTTGTGGGTCAACTTGATTAAATTTTAAAAATTTTAAATTATTTAAGTTGTTGCACATGGCTAATGGCTACTGAGTTGAACAGGGCAACCCTAGAACATGGATGGAGGGTCCTACAGCACAATCTTACCCCTCTGACCTCTGTGATCCTCCGGAGTGTCCCCTAGCTTATAAGTGGGGGACCTAGAATACAGACTGAAGTCTGACATCCATTCCCATTCTCCTCCTATGCACCAGTATATGAATGGGGGGACCTTGGAACAGCTGCTCAGCTCCCCTGAACCCCTATCCTGGCCTGTCAGGCTCCGCCTGGCCCTGGACATTGCCCGAGGCCTGCGGTACCTGCACTCCAAAGGTGTATTTCACCGGGACCTTACATCCAAGGTAGGCTAGTGGGGTGGGTGGAGGCATGAAAGAGGGTTTGAGACTATTAGGTTGTAACTGTCCTGTGGACATTGGAATGTGGATAACAGATATATTAGGATGTTGGAGTGGCGAGGCATTGGAGAATATTGGGGGACCAGGGTGAGGGGAGTGCTCGGAGGGACTGAATAGCACCCTGTGTTTGGAGTGTTGGGTGATGTTGCGATATTGAAGTGCCTTGAAAAACTGGGAGAGCAGAGAGGGTTGGGGTTATGCTGGAGTGACAGGGCTTTGGGTTATACATTGGGAGGCCAGAGGGCAGAAAGTGATGAGTGCTTGGGGATACTATGTGTGTGTGTGTCAGAACTGTCTAGTCCGACGGGAAGATCGAGGCTTCACCGCTGTCGTGGGTGACTTCGGGCTGGCTGAAAAGATTCCTGTGTATAGGTGAGGTGAATGTCCCTGTTCCCCCCAAATCTCCCAGAGTGCCCCTATCTGATGTCCCCAGAGCCCCAGCGATGTTTCCCTTGGGGAGAGAAGGGAGTTCACCTCATCCCCTTTTCCCTGGGGGAGATGCCTGAGTAGGATGTTTCTGACCACCCTGCCCCTGCCCCTGCAGGGAGGGGGCAAGAAAGGAGCCATTGGCTGTGGTGGGCTCCCCATACTGGATGGCTCCAGAGGTGTTACGGGGTGAGCTGTATGATGAGAAGGTGAGACATCAACCCTTCAGATCCCCAAGGCCTTCCGAGACCCTTGAGGTTTTCTCATAAAGCCCCATCCATCCCCAAAACAACCCTACCAGATCTTCAGGAGTCCCCAAGATCCCTTTGCCCCTCACAGGCACCCTTCCAACACATGAAAACTGTCAAGATCCCCCACCCTCAACCAAATTCAGCTATATTCTGTCAAAATTCTGAAATGAAAACTGTTAATTCTTCCACGACACTGTTATCTCTGACCCCCAGGCTGATGTCTTTGCCTTCGGAATTGTCCTCTGTGAGCTCATCGCCCGAGTACCTGCAGACCCTGACTACCTACCACGCACTGAGGTGAATGTCTCCAGGTTTGCAAACGAAGAACTCCAGACTAGCCGGCTCATAACCAAGGAGGATTCCCTAGAGGTTGAGGTTCTGACTGGGGAGCAGAAGGAGAACCCAAGAAAAGCTGACTTGGAGATTCCTCCTTCTGTCCCCACAGGACTTTGGCCTGGATGTGCCTGCCTTCCGAACTCTAGTGGGGGATGACTGTCCACTGCCTTTCCTGCTTCTGGCCATCCACTGCTGCAGCGTAAGATCCTCACAGCCTTTCCGCTCCACCCTGCCCCCATCTATAAGCTGCCATGGCTGCCCTATGGGACCCAGGTGATGGGGGGAAACTCAGAGACCCTGTTTCGGAGCACTGAGTGAAGCCATTCCCGTCTCTACCCATCAGCTGGAACCCAGCACCCGTGCCCCCTTCACCGAAATCACCCAGCACCTGGAATGGATCCTGGAGCAGCTGCCTGAGCCAGCCCCACTCACCAGGACTCCCCTGACACACAATCAGGGTAAGTGAGCATGACCTTGACCCAGCTTAAGTCCTTTGGCCTTTCTCATCCTTAAAACTCAGAGATGACATGGAGGAGGCTAAATATATTTATTAGTTGAAAAGGCTGGCGGTCGGGCTGGGGTAGGGTGGGAGGACATCTCAAAGAAGACAGTTTCCTAATGCTAAAGCTTGAGGGAGGGGAGGGGAACAAGTAAAAGGGGCCTGGAGATGACATCGCCCCTTTCCAAAGAACCAGGTGGGACTCCCTTTTTCAAGCTCTAGTCCCACCAGCCTCCTGGAGAATAGTGAGGCCCTCAAGGAGCTGTGATCAAATGCTGAGGACAGTGATTCCAGACTTCTCTGTCTACAGGCTCTGTTCCAAGAGGGGGTCCCTCTGCCACGCTTCCTAGGCCAGACCCCCGGCTTTCCCGAAGCCGGTCAGACCTCTTCCTGCCCCCATCACCAGAATCACCCCCAAACTGGGGTGACAATCTGACTCGAGTCAACCCCTTCTCACTACGGGAAGACCTCAGGGGTGGCAAGATCAAGCTTTTGGACACACCCAGCAAGCCAGTCCTGCCTCTTGTGCCACCATCGCCATTCCCCTCCACTCAGCTGCCCTTGGTGACCACCCCGGAGACGCTGGTCCAGCCTGGAACACCTGCCCGCCGCTGCCGCTCACTACCTTCATCCCCTGAGCTCCCCCGCCGTATGGAGACAGCACTTCCAGGTCCTGGCCCTCCCCCCGTGGGCCCCTCGGCTGAAGAGAAGATGGAGTGTGAGGGCAGCAGCCCTGAGCCGGAACCTCCAGGACCAGCGCCCCAGCTGCCTCTGGCTGTGGCCACAGACAACTTCATCAGCACCTGTTCCTCGGCCACCCAACCCTGGTCCCCTAGATCAGGACCTGTCCTCAATAACAATCCCCCAGCTGTGGTGGTGAACTCCCCACAAGGCTGGGCTGGGGAGCCCTGGAACCGGGCCCAGCATAGCCTGCCCCGGGCGGCAGCCCTGGAGCGGACAGAACCCTCGCCACCCCCTTCAGCTCCCCGGGAGCCTGATGAGGGGCTGCCCTGTCCTGGCTGCTGCCTCGGCCCCTTCAGCTTTGGCTTCCTGTCCATGTGCCCCCGCCCCACACCAGCTGTTGCCCGCTACCGCAACCTGAACTGTGAGGCGGGCAGTCTCCTCTGCCACCGAGGGCACCATGCCAAGCCACCCACACCCAGCCTGCAACTGCCCGGGGCACGCTCTTAGCATTGGAGCCTGTGGTCTCAGTCCTCCAACTTTGGCCTTCAGGACACCCTGTAAGAACAGAGCACACTTGCTGGACAGTGCCAGTTCCAGATGGGCTGACCGGCTCTTCTCCCTGTGTAGGGGAGCCCCAGCATGGACTCGAGGGACAGAGCACTTCCAGTTCAATCCCCGGCTCGTGTTCCCATGGGGATCACTGAACCAGACACAGCATTGCTGACACATGAGACTAACACGTGCAATTATTTAAAAAGATTTCAATAAAACTGCCTGGCTGGCTCCGGGCCGCCCCTATCCACTCAACCCGTGCGCCCTCCTCCCCCGCCCCATTCTACCATGGGAAGTTCTTGCAGGGAGGCCAAAGTCCCTTCTAGAGGTGGCTTCACCCTTTTCCCAAGAACAGTCCAGTTTCAGGAAGAGGGAGCAGGCAGCAGGCTGGCTGGAAGTGTCAGGTGTGGATCAGCTGGTGGCTGGACACTGCCCAGAATGAGGGAACACAGGGAGGACATGGTCTGAGGACCCGCAGGCCTCAGGTTAGGAAGGAGGGGCACAGTTTCTTGTTGGCATGAGTGTCTGGAAGAGTAAAGTATCGGTGAGCTCCATGGTTGACTTAACTGAACCCTCATCCCGCTCACCCCGTCACCCCGACAGCCACATCACCAGCCTCCCATAAGTTCTAGGCCTTTCCTGTCCCTCTCCCTGCCCACCCCATCCTAACATAAGCAGACCAAGCAACTGGAGGCTGTGGAGGAACTTTCATCCCAGGTACAAGTTTTCCCTCGGGCCCCTGGGTCCCTGCTCTGAGTCCCTCTGCCCCTGGACTCCCCATGCCTTGGCCCCATCCCTCCCTCTTACCAGTTCAGTGTAAAGGGTTGTCCTAATCTGGAAATCTGAAAGCTGTCATCTCACAGATGAAGGGAAGAGGACTTCCACATGCCTCTTTCTCCATTGTCCAATACCGTGACCAACCTTTTTGTACCTTGGTACATTTTGAACTTTGAACATAAACCCTAAAAAGTAATAAGGTAGAGCTGGGATAAGCTCTGGACCCCTCCTATCCTACCCTCCCTTCTCTCCCCTTTCCCTGCATAAAACCTAAGTCCTAAGTCGCTTTGCCTGCCTAAGGCCACATCTGGGCATGGTTCAGGACAGATGTCTGGAGTTCAACTAAAACAGGCTTTAGAACCAGCAGAGGGAAAAATCACTCCAGGTCATAAAGATGCAGGCCAGGCGCGGTGGCTCATGCCTGTAATCCCAGCACTTGTGGGAGGCTGAGGCGGGCGGGTCACGAGGTCAGGAGATCGAGACCATCCTGGCTAACACGGTGAAACCCCATCTCTACTAAAAATACAAAAAATTAGCCAGGCATGGGGAGGCTGAGGCAGGGGAATGGTGTGAACCCAGGAGGCGGAGCTTGCAGTGAGCCAAGATTGCACAACTGTACTCCGGCCTAGGCAACAGAGCGAGACTCTGTCTCAAAAAAAAGATGGGAAGGCCAATTAGGGAACATAAGGAGGCTGCCACCCTGTTTCAGGGTCCCTAGGGTTGATCTTCAATGGTACCCCACTGCTCCCTTGATCACAGTGAAGTGGAGCTTTGATGGTACCCCCACTGCTCCCTTGCTTACTTCACTGAGGTAGCTCTAGTGCCCCGAGTGGCTGCTACTGAGAAAGTACAACCTCAGTTTGGGTGGCCTTGTCAAAGGATGGAGAAATGCTGCTGTCATCAGCTGTGGAGCCTTAACTAAATCCTTAATGTCTCCCCCTAAAAGCTAGCATAGGTCCCAACCTAGTAGTTACTGAAACAAAAAAGCATGTGCCAGGGACTTCTAGGTGGAAATATAATGGAGAATAAGATTGCCTTAAGAAGTTATTAATCAAATAGAGGAAACAGACAAATAGGCAATTACAGTGTTGATTTATGGGAGAGTTCTGAGGGAAGCAGGTGGAGAGGAAATCTGATTACCATGTCTTTATGGAGGGGATTATGGAGTTGAAAATACCCAGAGTCCTAACAAACTTACCTAATGTATTGTGTATCATCAGTAAACTTCTCATCCTTGTTAGAGCTGAGGCCAGTCCAGTATGAATTCCCTGAACCACCATTTGGCAACAGCGAATTTAAGATGAAGTAATACTAAGGAGAGATTCAGAGAGACCAGAGATATGTGGAGAGTGATGAGAAATACGGAAGAAAATGCATGCCCTAGGGAGGCCTCAGCTTCGGCAAGGGGGCTGTATATATGACAGCTCTTTGGTAACTGGTCCCTGAATCCACCAAGTGCCACCCTGCAGATGCAGGCTCAGTGCTCAATTTGCTTTCCAGCTGAGTAAGAATCTCTGCCAGCCTTTGGAGGGGAGTCATTGTGTGTGCTGTTCTGGCCCCAAGGAACTAATCCCTACAATCCAGCCCACCAGGTGTGGAACCTCTCTGCCTGAGAGGCCACAAGAGTCAAGGAACCTGTCAAGCAGCCCAGGGAGCTGACTAGCAAGCTGAGATGAGATACAGATTAAAGTAGAGGCCAGGTGCGGTGGCTCACACCTGTAATCCCGCACTTTGGGAGGCTGAGGCAGGTGAATCACCTGAGGTCAGGAATTAGAGACCAGCCTGACCAATATGGTGAAACCCCGTCTCTATTAAAAATACAAAAATTAGCTGGGCGTGGTGGTGTGTGACTGTAGTCCCAGCTACTCGGGAAACTGAGACAGGAGAATTGCTTGAACCCAGGAGGCAGAGGTTGCAGTGAGCTGAGATTATGGAATTGCACTCCAGCCTGGGTGACAGAGTGAGACTCTGCCTCAGAAAAAAAAAAAAAAATGTAGATATGGTTCCTAAGTTTCTACTCTCATGCCAACTCTAATCAGTTAGTAGGGGCTGCCTGGACCACTGTGCTGAGAAGATGCAGAGGTTGTTTCCAAGCTCAGAGTTCAAGAGTATTGTGATTCTCAGTTTCTTCCACGGAAAAGGAATGGCCACCCCAGCCATGTATGCACTGCCATTCCTGACTTGATGACATATGTCCCTTTACCGAATAGTACCCACCATAGTCTGTGAGTAAGGATATGCTTACTGATTGTTGATAAATTTCACTGAATGTGGCCAGCTTGGAAGACAGAGTTTCACAATGTTTTTGGCTCTCCTGCCAAGTTTTCGAAGTAGGTGAGATGTAAAAGCAGCTTTTCTGATGCACTGTCCATCCCGTCGGACAGCAGGTGTCTAAAAAGCAGAAAGAGTGTGATAGCAGCAACAGTTGGGATGAAAGTAACTACTCAGCAATCTTTTGCTAACAATATTCTCCTAGGGCTAATCTCAGCACCTTCATGGACTTCTATGATCTTTGCAATCTTTCTTTCTTTTGCATCCCCTGGAAACACCGTACCTGTCCTTACTTAGTAAAAACACTTTAACATTCAACAACATTACTTCTTAGCAATCTAGGAGGTTTGTCTTAATAGGGCTAATTTTATTACCCCAATTTCTGAACAATTGCAGTCCACCCTGACACTTTACCTAACATCTCTTGGGCCCATCTCCTCCACTCCCTAAAGCACCCCCCACTGCACATCCAAGACTTCCACTCCTCCAGCACTGGCCCCCTCCTTCCCTCTCCAATTTCCTACAAGCAGAAAATGTTGGGTCCTGTTTTGCAGAAACAGCTCTCTCCATTTCCCTCAAAATTTCTCTTCTCTGTTCTTCTTTTCCTGACTATCCATAAGAAATAAATATCCCTCTTTCTTCAACATCCTACATCCCAATCTGCACTTCTGATCCCCAGACCACCTCTCTCCATTGCTTTGTTCCATCAGTCCTACCTTCATCATTCAAAAATCATTCACTCCCCACTAGCTCCCTCTGTTCTCTCTACATGATCTCATGTCCCCACCCTGCTACTCCCTTGAGTTACTGTCCTATGGCAACTTAAAGGAATAAAAAGAAATCCCTGCTGGGCACAACGGCTCACATCTATAATCCCAGCACTTTGGGAGGCCAAGGCGGGATGGATCACCTGAGGTCAGGAGTTCAAGAGCAGCCTGGTCAACATGGTGAAACCCCACCTCTACTAAAAATACCAAAAAATACCCAGGCACTATGGTGCACACCTATAATTCCAGCTACTCGGGAGGCTGAGGCAAAAGGATCACTTGAACCCAGGAGACAGAGGTTGCAGTGAGCCGAGATCACACCACTGCACTCCAGCCTGGGAGTGCACTTTAGTCTCACAGAGTGAGACTCCACCTCAAAAAAAAAAAAAAAAAAAAAAGAACAGAACAGAAAAGAAAAGAAATCCGTATGGCCAAATGGAAGAAAGTGAGGGGATAAGTGGAACACTGAAAGGTAGGCAGGGGTGTTGGAAGCTATGTTAAGGATTTTTTATTTTTATATTATGAGAAAGAGAAAGTCAGTGTAGGATTTTACACAGAGGAATTTTGTTCACTAGCTATATCCCAAGTGCCTGGGCACAGTGCTAGAACATATTATCTGTTATGTATTCCATAACTGTTTATGTAATCAATTAACTGGAATGCTCTAGATTGGGATGACATGATCAGATTTTTGTAAAGAATTACCCTGGCTCCAATATGAAGAATGGACTGCGGGGAGAGGAGTGAGTAGGAAAAACATTTAGAAAGTTGTTGCAGCTATCCTTGCAAAAGATGAGGATGGGGAAAATCCAAATGGATTTATAGACTTGGTGATGGGAAGTGGAGGGAATTCCTCTCAGAGTGGAAGGTGAGGGCATGTGCTGAAAGTGAGGGAGAAGGAGTTATTATGGAGAGCAAGCTAACCACTGCAGAGGTTGCCAGGCAGTGCTGAGAGACTACAGTCTCAGTGGCACTGAGCAAAATGATTCCACAATTTGTCACACCTTGGTGCTGACTGTGGGCAGTTGGGTTCATCCAGAGTTGAAATTTTGCCCATCAGGTGCACTAGAAGGATAACGGAACAAAGAAGCGAGTGAGCCATGTGCGGTGGCTCACGATTGTAATCTCAGCACTTTGGGAGGCTGAGACAGGAGGATCGCTTGAGCCCAGGAGTTCGATACCAGCCAGGGAAACATAGTGAGACCTTGTCTCTATTTAAAAAAAAAAAAAAAAAAAGTGAGTAGTAAAAGTGATGGGCTCCAAACCCATGATAGGTAGGGAGAGAAGTGTGGACAGGAGACAGCTGATGGGAAGGGAGAAAAAGGGGAGTCAGCAGATTGGAGGCCTCAATGAGATCAAAAAAGTTTGGGGAAAACCTGGAGGAGTGGTGGGCAGCTGTGATCAGAGTGGAAGTCTGAAACCATCCTTTTGCCAGAAGAGCAGTTTGGGATGTAGAGGTCTAAGGTGCTGCTAAGAGAATGGGCAGCCCTGGCATGGAACTGATGATCACAGAGGTTCAGGTTAAGGAAATGAGGGCAAGGGGCGTCTGCACATAATCTTGCTGTCTTATGCCTGGGGAGATCGACCAGATGACCCCAAGCTAGACAGAGCCTAAACCTGATCATAGCCCAAAAACACCCCAGTCCCCTTGGGCCTGGCACCTTGCCTAGACCCTCAGCCTGTTTTGACACAGCCTTGCCTCTTTTATGTGTCCCTTTCCCCATCTCCACCTACTGGCTGGGGTCCTGCTTTCAAAATGAATGGACACCCCATCCTAGTTCCCTACACCACAACTCCAGGCTCCACCTCACTGTGAGTGCTGAGAGCCTCACTGCCTTGCCCCACCACCAGGTTGCACTCCATGTCAGTCAGTTAGTCTTACCCTTTGGGGAGATCTCAGCTATAATGAAAATTAATGAAAATTGAGGACCCTGTCTTTAGAAAGATGTGCAAACTGCCAAGTTCACATCCAAATTTGGGGGCGTTCCAGATCTTTGTCACTGATATCAACAGGAAGAAACCATGGACAGTGTGATTTGGACTGCTGGCTGCCATCCTCCTCTACCCCACAGGATGAGCCTTGGAGCTCGGTGGGTCCCCCTAAATCCAGTATGCAACTTGGTCCTTCTCTCTGTTGGCCAAAGCTGAACAGCTCATGTCAGCCACCACTCTGGTTCACTGCCCCTTTCCTGAACACCTCACAGGCCCCTGGGTGATAGACCCCTTCCACTAGTATCTCCTTGCTCCAATCCATCCCTCCCTTCTCTCCTCTCCCCAGAGCGGACACCTGATGAGCGGCATGTGAAGAAGGGCTTCAGTCTGTTCTCCATGTTGCTCAGCTTCTGCTCCAAGGCCCTCCTCTGTTGCTCCTCACTTTGCAAGGTCTCCTTCGTCTTCTCGCTGTCTGTCTGGCAGGCCTGTAGCTGCCCTTCAGCCGCCTGATGAGCCCTCTGTTCCACCTCTAGTGCTTCCTGACTCTGCGCCAGCTCTCTCCTGGACCCCTGCAGATCCTCTGCGCTCTGTCCCAGCTGCCTTATCTTCAGGTGGAGCTGCTGCCTCAGGCTGCTGTTAGTGGCTTCCAGAACCCTATTCATCTGCTGGAGCTGCTGAGACACCTGCAGATCTGTTTGGCCACAGAGATTTGGTGGATGTCTTCTCCAGCCCTGCCCTAGTGCCCTGAGACTGCAGCATCAGCCCTTTTTCTCCTTCTTGCAACTTTTTGCATCACAGGCTGAAATACAAGATTTGACTGCCTAAAGTGTAAGGAGGTACTGGATTAGGTGAGGACAATTCAGGAAGACAACAGCCCTGGCAGGAAACCAAACCCAAAGCTAAGGATGTGGTGGTAGTGACTATGAGCCCTGCTGAGGAAGGTCAGCTTTGCGGGGAAAGTCAGGACGAAAGTCGTTCCGTGTAAGTGGGAAGTGGGGACAGCCTTACTCACAGCGCATTCCCAGGCAGATGACGGCTACTCCTAACAGCAGGCAGGTGAGGAGCAGGCCGAGCAGGAAGTATCGCAGGCAGGCTGTGCGGCCTTAGGGGGACAGTGGGATGGATGCGGGCAGTCAGCCCCCGGAAAGAATGTAGAGACGAGGGGACAGGTCCGCGGAGGAGACCCCTGGGGAAGGCATCCCTAAGAGGAGGGAGGTGCAGAGCTGAGGGGGCAACCATGGTGGTTTCTGTTGGGTAGCGGGGTGTTTCGCAGGTAGGGGAGAGGGTGTTCCAGAATCAGAGCTGGTAAGGACTCAGGGGCATAACCTGGGAGAAGGGAAAGGAAATATCAGACCGAGAGAGGGAGAGAGGAGAAGGGGGGCAGGAAGGCGAATTGGGACCATCCGCAGGGGGGCGGTGCACGTCGGATTCAGACGCACCCGATGTAGGTGAACGGGGCAGGGCAGCCGGGGCGGTCGGAAGGGCTGCGCCCGGACTCATCCTGGGAAGAGCTGCACCCCGCGGGGCCCAGCGCCATCCGCAGCCGGGACAGGCGCGAGCACTTGCCCCCGCGGCCGCACCGCACACTCACAGGGGAGAATCCGCCCGACGGCTAGTGACGTCACGGCGCTCCAGGACGCAGTTGACTGCTCCGACTTGACCGCTGTCGAGGGGAGCATTGAGTTTGAGACGGGAAGCCCCGAGTATTGCCCCTTCTCCTCCGGTGCACCCGCTTCGCCCTCGCCACTGGGAAACTCCAGTCTGCCCCACGTTGCCCGCTAGGGTTGCTCTGGTACACCCTGTCACTCTACTGAGTTCCTCCTCTGCCTAGGACTCTCTCGGCTCCCTCCTGGGTCTCACCGTATCTTTTCCCGGACCCCCTCATCTCTCGTAGTTCTTCCTTTATCGCTTCCTCAGGGGCCCCTTATCTGTCGGCCCCAAACCCTCTCCCCCTTTGCTCTCATCCAACTCCCATCCCCCCTTTTCCCTCCCATGGCTCCCCATTTCCCATTAGAACTCATCCCCCACAGGGCTGCCCTATCCCTCCGCAGCCCTTATCTCCCTCACTGGGGTCTCCACCTTGCCGGAGGAATCTTTCTTCCTCCCCTGGCTCCCATTTATCCTGTTCCTATTCTTCCGTTTCCTAAGAACCGCCCTCCTCCTTTCCCCAGGGTATTGTGCTCTCAAGAATATTGTGGGCCATGGCGTGGGGGTGCACGCCTGCAATCCCAACACTTTAGGAGGCCAGGGCAGGAGGATCACTTGAGCCCAGGAGCTCGAGGCTGCAATGAGCCATGATCACACCACTGCACTCCAGCCTGTGTGACAGAGCAAGACCCTGTCTCAACAACAACAAAAACATTGTGGACTCCCCAGCTCAAGACACAGCCCCTCAACAAACACACATCCCCCAGGCTCTCCAGACCTGCTTTGTCGCCTAGTCCAGAAGAAGCCAAGCTTGAGGGTCCCCCTGGGACTGGGGGCACTTGAACATTCTCATAGGTGAGTTCCCCATCGTCATCAGCCCCTGGGTCTGGAGAGAAGAGAAGAGGGACCAAGGTGGGAGTCGGGAATAGGATCTGTGGGGTGGGGAGTGGGGATGCAGGACCAAGGGGAGGCCTCATCCCCCTTACCCTGTCCTAACCGGCTGGAGATGCTCTTCTTCAGGGGTGCCTTCACAAACCTCAGATCTGCATAGGTGATGGCCTCAGCCATGGTCCCGAGCAGCTCTGCCCCAACTCGTCTTCCCTGTCATCCACCGTCCTCCCTTGCTCCTCTTTTCTCTGTCCCTTTACAACTAGGCTCTGTGTTCCCTCCGTGACTGCACGGTTTATCACCTGGCCCTGTGACTTCCAGTCACAAAAGAGGAAGGTGTTAGCAAGTCTCAAACAGATGGGCTCAATGAAGCAGAAGGCATCCCTGGGCCAGGGCCAGAGGGGCCACGGAGGGGACGCTGAGGTCCAGAGCACAGGGGTAGGGACTGGGCCTGTCCCCATGTCCTCCCTGTGCTTCCTCTCCATGCATCTTAGACCCATGTGGGCCATACTGGACCCCAAACTCGGTCCTCCTGGTTATCTGCCCTGATCTGCCCCGCCCTCCTCCTGGCTGCCTTGTCCACTGGGGCTTATGATGTGTAGCTGCAGCTGCACTGACTCAGATGATCTCCCCAGCTCCAGGGTGAGGCTCCATTCTCCCCATGAGACTGGGGGTTCCTGGTTTGCATCCCTCACTCCTCATCATCCTGGGGTTTCCAGTAACTGGGCGTTCAGGAACAGGTCCGGGCCAGGGGTGAAGGTAAGGAACAGCCATGGCTGCAGCACCTCTGGAAAGGCATGCGGCAGCACTGCCCCCCATGCATCCTCATGGGGAGCCAGGGAGCAGGTGAGCATGGGAGTTGCAGAGGGCTTAAGAAGGACTGCAGCTTCCTAGGCAGAGGCAAGGCAGGAGCAGAGCCAGAGGCCGAGCACAGATTCTGGACCAGCAGAGGTTTTGACATTTTCTTGGTTTGGTTTTGGTTTTTCTCTTATTTTCACAGCAAAGTTCTTCCTTTAAAAAGTCCCAAAGCTGTCCCTTCACACACAGCCCCAAGGAAAAAGGGGGCATTTGTGGTGGAGGACCCAGGGACTGCCAGGCCTTCATAGGTGTTGGGGGCCTGGTTGATGGAGGAGACAGGGAACCAGTTGGGGGAGAAGGGGGCAGCTGAGCAGGGGTGCCCAAAGGCGCTCCCTAATGTTCTTTTACCAGGATGTGACCCCTAATAGGAACCCCAAAATGGCCTACATCCAGGATAGGAAGGAGCTGGAACAAGATGTAGTGTGGGGGTGGGAAGACCTAGCCCCTAGCAAAGTGACATCCGCCCCGCAGAAACCCCCTCTCCTACAGCTGTGGGGAGGAAAAAGGAAGGGGAGAAAGGTCCTCACCGCATGCCAACAGCTTGGATGATTGGTGGTGTGTGGCAGGACACACACCTAGAGCTCTGCCAATAGCTCCGCCCAGCCACCCCTAGAGGAAGTGGCCACTGAGGCAAAGCTGTCACTTCAAAAATGTACCTGTAGAGAGGCACATGTGTGCATGTACGTGCATGGACACGCATGTTCCCAGGACTTTGCAGTCTGTTGGGGCATCTGTGAGGTGAGCAGCTATGTCAGAGCCTGCCTGGAGGAGGAAGCCTTCTGTGGGCTGAAGGCTGCCTGCGATCACTGTTATTTTCCACGGCAGGGAATGACGGGTCATTTTCAGAAAAGTCTTCAAAGGTCATCACAAGAGATCCTACAAGTATTTCCTTCTTGAGGCTCACTGTTTCCTAAGGTGCCTCTGCAGCTGTTAACGGTCCTTGCTTGATTAAAGTTTCCAACAACCCAGACCTTCCCCCAGATACAGACAGTGGTGTGTGGTGGTGACTCCCTGGGGGCCTCAGGGGCCCTGAGAGTGAGTGGGAGGGTGTAGAGCAGCTGGTGGCAGGGGTGGGTGGGGTGGGAAGAGTCAAATACTTGAACCTGTGGTGTACAGGGGGTGAGTGTGGGCAGTGTGTGAGTAAATCAATTGCAGGAAAATTTACAGGAGTTCCACAAACTGTAGAATGTCCCAGTTTTCAGATCCAATACACGGGTGAACATGATGTAGATGCCAGGTAAAATGCCAAAATCAAGCTTCTAGTCTGCACTCAAAAAGGAATCCGTGGCCAACATAGTGAAACCCTGTCTCGGCCGGGCGCGGTGGCTCACGCCTGTAATCCCAGCACTTTGGGAGGCCGAGGCGGGCGGATCACAAGGTCAGGAGATCGAGACCATCCTGGCTAACACTGTGAAACCCCATCTCTACTAAAAATGCAAAAAATTAGCCGGGCGAGGCGGCGGGCGCCTGTAGTCCCAGCTACTCGGGAGGCTGAGGCAGGAGAATGGCGTGAACCCGGGAGGCGGAGCTTGCAGTGAGCTGAGATGGCGCCACTGCACTCCAGCCTGGGCGACTAAGCGAGACTCTGTCTCAAAAAAAAAAAAAAAAAAAAAAAAAAAAAGAAACCCTGTCTCTACTAAAAACACAAAAAAAAATTAGCCAGGTGTGGTGGCTGAAACCTGTAGTCCCAGCTAGTCAGGAGGCTGAGGCAGGAGAATCACTTGAACCCAGGAAGTGGAGGTTGCAGTGAGCCAAGATTGCACCATTGCACTCTAGCCTGGGCAACAAGAGCAAAGCGCCATCTCAAAAAAAAAAAAAAAAAAGGAATACATGGGCTTGCTGCCTAACTTGACTGTGGAGAGGCTTAAGAAGGGGATCTCCTGGCCAGGCGTGGTGGCTCACACCTATAATCCCAGCACTTTGGGAGGCTGAGGTGGGCAGATCACCTGAGGTCAGGAATTTGAGACCAGCCTGGCAAACATGGTGAAATCCCGTCTATACTAAAAATACAAAAATTAGCTAGGAATGGTGGCATGTGCCTGTAATTCCAGCTACTAGGGAGGCTGAGGCAGGAGAATTGCTTGAACCCGGGAGGCAGAGGCTGCAGTGAGCCAAGATTGTGCCCAGCCTGGGCTACAGAGTGGGACTCTGTCTCCAAAAAAAAAAAAAAAAAGAATAAAAAGAATAAAAGGAAGAAGAAGAAGGGAATCCCCAGATGGAACTGCACACCCCATTGTCTTGAATGTCTTAACCAGGCTTGTTCTATATTTTTCTCCTCTTTAGCTCTTTTGGTGATGGTTACGTATCTTTTGATCATAGGCCACATTCGCTTCTAATCTCAGACCAGCTTGTAGCCTTCCTTTGTGAACACAGTAAGAGAGTGGGATCCTTCCCCTTCCCCATGTGTATCACACATTACCTTTAGAGACTGGACATCAGAAAAGATACCTGTAACTCCAAGCTGTACCTCTACTGCCCAAATATCAGGGAACTTTTAAGAGCTGAGGGGTCAGTGCTGTACATTTCAGCTTTTTCAGAACTGTAATATCATCATCTGAGAGCCTGGAGGGCAGACACCAACACCCATGTTTTGCCTCTCTTGGCCTCCCCACTACTCATTACAGGGAATGAGTGTTTACAGTTGACAAGAGGAGGGGGCCCAACCATAAGGGCATCAGATAGAATTTGCCATGTGGAAGGAAGCTCACCTGATCAACTTTGTGTCATTGATACAGTCTATGTCAGGACATCAGGAGCATCTCCTAAGACTCTGAAAGTCAGGCTATATCTGTCTTCATTACTTTAACCCACTGGCCTCCAGGAAGCCCTAGTTTACTGACAGGGTGTGGTAGCCAAAATAATGGCCTCCCAAAAATATTCACACCCGAATCCCCAGAACCTATGACATATGTCACTTTACCTGACAAAATGTAGATGTGACTGTTAATTAAGGCCCTTTAGATGGAGAGATTATTCTGTTTTATCTTGGTAGGCACACTCTGATCATATGAGTCCTTGAAAGGGAGAACCTTTCCCATCATGGGAAGAAAGAGATTCGGTGAGGGAAGGAGGGCCAGAGAGATGCCACAGGAGAAACACTCAACCCATAGGTCCTGATTTTGAAGATAGAGGAAAAGGACCATGAGCCAAGGAATGCAGGCAGCCTCTGAGAGCTGGAAAAGGCAAGGAAGCAGATTTTCCCCTTCAGCATCCAGAAAGGAACCAACCCTGCAGACACCTTGACTTTAGCCCAGTGAGACCTGTGTTGACTTGATCTCCACAACTGTAAGATAATAAATTTGTATTGTTTAAGCCACCAAGTATGTAATTTATTAGAGCAGCAGCAGTTTCCTGAACTGTGGAGGAAGCATGATGTAATAGAAAGAACAGGGAGACTCTGGTTAAAGAGACCAGCCTTGCCACAGTATGTGACTTTGGGCAAGTCACAATTTTCCATATGTAAAATACAAGATAGTCTGACCTCAATCAAGAGTATGATTACTGGAGACACACTAGGTGTGGACTTTACAAAGGCCTCTTTAAAAGTCTGTCACAAAGGCTTCAGAGTCAGGAGGGAGAAAAATGGGCCACCCGATTGCACCATGAGGGAGACTTGGATTTCTTTGATCACTGAAGCCAAAGAGTACAGATAGGTCTTCGGTGACTTGCCCTAGGCCTCTCCTTGGTCCTGCCTCAAATGGTGACACAGAAAGCACATTCTCTGTACTAATGGCACAGAGCTGAAAAGAAAAGCAAATACATCAAAAGGCCAACTCAAGATTCAAGCCTTGCAACAAGGCAAAATGATGGCTCCAAACCACAGAATGAAATGTCATAAAAATAATAACAGCAGGCTGGGTGTGGTGGGTCATGCCTGTTATCCCTTGGAAGGCCAAGGCGTGCAGATCATGAGGTCAGGAGTTCGAGACCAGTCTGGCCAATATGGTGAAACCCCGTCTCTACTAATAATACAAAAATTAGCTGGGCACAGTGGCACGCGCCTGTATCCCAGCTACCCAAGAGGCTGAAGCAAAAGAATCGCTTGAACCTGGGAGGCGGAGGTTGCAGTGAGCCAAGATGGAGCCACTGCACTCCAGCCTGGGCAACAGAGCAAGACTCTGTCTCAAAATAATAATAATAATAATAATAATAATAATAATAACAACAGCAAAGTCAGGCACAATGGCTCATGCCTGTAATCCCAGCACTTTGGGAGGCTGAGGCGGGTGGATCACGACCAGCCTGACCAACATGGCGAAACCCCATCTCTACTGAAAATACAAAAATTAGCTGGGCATGGTGGCACATGCCTATAATCCCAGCTACTCAGGAGGCTGAGGCAGGAGAATCGCTTGAACCTGGGAGGCGGAGGTTGCAGTGAGCCGAGATACTACTACTACTGCACTCTAGCCTGGGTGACAAAGGGAGACTCTGTCTCAAAAAAAAAAAATAATAATAATAATAATTAATTTAATTTAATAAAAATATAAAATGAGCAAATGAGCCTCTGCCTAAGGCTGACCAGTCCATAGACAAGCCAGTGGCCTGGACATCAGGATGAGTTTATCAAATGTTCATTTTCAGGAATTTAAGTGGGAAAATATGGAGATGACCGCTGAGTTGGCAGTGGGAGTTAAAGATGAAAGGATGTGTAGAGAGCATCTACCTTGACCCACAGAGTTCTCCATATCTAGTGATCGTCCCTGGCTACTCCTCGCTCACATACTTAGTGGGGAGCGATTACCCTGGCAGAGGCAACTGAACCTGATTGCCTGATTATCATGAGGGGTTAGGGCTGCTGCTACATACTGTAGGAATGTCCAGGCACACCTCATTTTATTGCACTTATTACACTTCACAGATACTGAGTTTTTTTTGTTTTTTTTGTTTTTTTTTTTTTTGAGACGGAGTCTCGCTCTGTCGCCCAGGCTGGAGTGCAATGGCGTGATCTTGGCTCACTGCAAGCTCCGCCTCTCGGGTTCACGCCATTCTCCTGCCTCAGCCTCCCGAGTAGCTGGGACTACAGGCGCCCGCCACCTCGCCCAGCTAGTTTTTTTGTATTTTTTAGTAGAGATGGGGTTTCACCGTGTCAGCCAGGATGGTCTCGATCTCCTGACCTCGTGATCCGCCCGTCTCGGCCTCCCAAAGTGCTGGGATTACAGGCTTGAGCCACCGCGCCCGGCCGATACTGAGTTTTTTTACAGGTTGAAAGTTTATGGCTACCCTGTGGCAAGCAAGTCTACTGGTGCCATTTTCCAACAGTACATGCTCACTTCATGTCTCTGTGTCATCACATTTTGGTAATTCTTAAAATATTTCAAATTTTTTTCATTATGATTGTATCTGTTATGGAGATCTGTGGTCAGTGAGTTTTGATATTAATATTGTCATTGTTTTGGAGCACCACGAACCATACCTATGAGACACTGAACTTAATAAAAGTTGTGTGTGTTCTGACTGCTCCACTGACTGGCTGTTCCCTGTCTCACTCCCTCTCCTTGGGTCTCTCTATTCCCTGAGACAAAACAATATTAAAATTAGGCCAATTAATAACCCTACAATGGTCTCTAAGTGTACAAGTGAAAGGAAGAGTTGCACATCTCTCACTTTACATCAAAAGCAGAAAGGATTAAGGTTAGTGAGAAGGGCATGTCCAAAGCCAAGATAGGCCAAAAGCTAGGCCTCTTATGCCAGTTAGCCAAGCTGCGAATGCAAAGGAAAAGTTCTTGAAGGAAATTAAAAGAGCTACTCCAGTGAACACATAAATGGTAAGAAAGCAAAACAGTCTTATTGCTGATATGAAGAGAGTTTGAGTGGTCTGGATAGAAGATCAAACCAGCTATAACATTCTCTTAAGCCAAAGCCTAATCCAGAGCAAGACCCTAACTCTCTTCAATTCTCTGGAGGCTGAGAGAATTGAGGAGGCTGAAGAAGAAAAGTCTGAAGCCAGCAGAGGTTGGTTCATGAGGTTTAAGGAGAGAAGCCATCTCTATAACATAAAAGTGCAAGATGAAGCAGCAAGTACTGATGTAGATGCTGCAGCAAGTTATCCAGAAGATCTAACTAAGATCATTGATGAAGGTGGCTACACTAAACAACAGATTTTCAATGCAAACTAAACAGCCTTTTATTGGAGAAGAGGCCATCTAGGACTTTCATAGCTGGAGAAGAAAAGTCAGTGCCTGGCTTCAAATCTTCAAAGGACAGGCTGACTCTCTTGCTAGAGGCTAATGTAGCTCGCGGCTTTAAGTTGAAGCCAGTGCTCATTTACCATTCTCGG